TAAGCTTACCATGAATAGTCTTCCAGTTGTTGTGTGGGGTGAATCTTCTTTTCTTTAACTAGAGAAGCACAATCACTCCACTTTTTTGTCTGTATTCTAATAAACCCTGTGATATTTAACACCCCCGTTTATTGATGCAGCCGATAATCACGAGACTGACCCATATTTTCAGCCCAATGGCAAAACCGATTAAGAAAAGACAAATAGCTATGAGCGGAGTAATAGAGTAACAACCAATTTTTTAGCAGCCAGCCAGCATATGAGATGAAATGATAATGGGTATAATTGTAACATGAGCGGAACATTTATTACTCGTTTATCCATGTGATGAGCTCCCGGCGTGTGATTTCAACAATCTGTCTCGCAGACAAGCCTCGGAGGAACACACGCCTTCCTCGTCTGTTATCTAGTCTTGGGGTATTATAAGGCCAGATGGAACGACGATGACACCAATTTGTAGCTTATATCAGATATTTGCTTTGTTCTAATTCTCCTCTCCTCTTTGTCTCTCAAATGTCAATATGTGATTGTACTGAGCAGGATTTCTTGACCTTCTTCATTGGTGCAGTACTAATTATTCTGACAATAAAATGCCTTAAATGTGTTGCATTTCCTGTATCAAAAGTTCACAAAAACAATATAGTTTTGAAAAATATGGCATATAAAGAATATCATCATTGGTTACAAGTAGGTTGGACGAAAATCATTGAAATGTGTGTAGAGTTGCACATTATTGTACATATGTGACATCTTGAGTAATTCTCTTGGCTATCTTAGGCTGATGTGGATTTAGTGGTACACTGACAATTGAATATTTGCTGTTTACATCAAATTAATCAGTTGTGTAACCTAACATTTTTAATATTAGATTATCTAATTACACATCAACAATGTGGATGACAAAGTTGGCAAGCTATTTATGATTTGATTAATAGAGCCTACCCCCCCCCCCCCCCCTGCTTTAATTCTTGGTGAAAACTGTATCAATGAGGAAATAAGATCAATGAGGAAATAATCAAATATATGACAAACAAATATCACACAGCCATTAGATTGGTCTATCATTGTTTGTTTATGTGCATTAAGCTATGACATGTTACATGACATATTCAACTGTAGGTCATTCGGCATGCAAAGTACATCTAGACCTGTCTAACACATTGGATAGATACACTGACATATAACTATGAGAAGCTCACCCCATCGTTTCATCCAGTTGGTATGCATGGTATGAACCAAGGTTGTAATTCAACATGGGAGACATGTACAGTGCTTAGGGGTAAGAGCGAGGGGGGGGGGGCATGGAGAAGGGGGTATTGTGATGGTGGTAATGAAAATGGAAGTGTAGATGGTGGTGTGTATATAGATGATTGAGATACTTGCACTTGCATAGCTTTGGGATAAGAAGAAGGGGAACATTGAGATGGTGTATGAAGAGATAGAAGTACAGTCGGTATAGATTAATCTATAGATGATCGTGGGCCTAGATGCTGAGCTTAGGGGTATACGTAGTTGGGGATCATACACAATAGTGGGAAGGGAAATGAAGGGGGTATGGAGAGGGTGTAATATAGATGATGGTATATTTATATTCATGTACATGATAGTGTGACTAGATGCTGGTATAATGCCAAAGAACATAAATGCACCACAGCCATTCCATACTGTATACAATGTTAGGTGCCATTAGTAAAGCATGAATGCTCTGCATGTTGGGTGTAAGCATCATAGAGGTATACCGTATGGTACAATGAAAGCTGTAAACATCAAGCTTACCTTGGTAAAACTGATCTTGCAAGGGTAAAGCCATCAAAGTAATTTATAAGGATTGTCCTTCGATTCTATCCCTCATGAGAGTTGATAGAAGATGTTCTGGGAAAAAGTTATAAGCATTAAGTTACTTACCATACCCCCCCCCCCCCAAAAAAAAAAAGAATAGAAAAGAAAAAGACAAAGCTGACCAGCAACAGACAAAAAAGCAGACATTTTGACATGCATTCATAATATGCTATGCTCCCTGATGTTGACATCAGATCTGCAATTAAAAGCATACCGGTACTCATAAGGCAGACCTACTTTTCAAGAGACCTGTAATAGTGCATCCCTCTCTTTGATTGAGAAGTGCCTTTATTGGCCGCCTGTTTATCCTGAACACGAGCTGTACACAATCCTCTTTATCAAATAATTACCTGCTCAAACATCCCCCCACATAGTGACACTGACTCTCTGTTCATATGAAGGTGTTCAAGTACTCTACCTGTACTAACTTACATCTCAAGTAGACATTGTTTGAGCTGAAAGAACACTGATAATCAATGTGTTTGCATATTTTTTAATTGATATATCGTCTGCTAAAAACCAGAAGGGCCTTATTCCAAAACCATTTTACATGGAGTTAACACCTTCTCTCTTCAGACATTGCGAAATACCAGAGTTGATATATGTACACAACATCTATTGACATGTGGCACTAAAGCTGCATATGCCTGTTCTAGATCTATGCAACATTTTGTCTGTCAGGAGTCAGAAAGACATTAAGTCCTATACCTTAATACAGAGTTAACACCCTTCTGTTTCTCAACTAACAATAGGGACTTTTAGATTTGCACAACGACAACGTGGATTGCTACGATCGACGTCCTTTTAATGCACTGCCTTGAATGGACGTCAACAACGTATCAGTCCACGCAAATCTAAAAGTCACTAATGTCTCAAGGAAGATATTGGCATAGAACGTTAACGTTATCCTTTGATGTATGAACACACCTTAGGTGCCCCATATCTTCTCATTGGCTCTTGACCCGCACATCACATCCTCTTCTTAATTACACATTGAATAGAATCTAATTCAGTTGAAATCCATGCCTTTTGTCTGGCGTAGGCTTTCAATCACTAGTCTCATTACATGATGATATGATGTTATCGTTTCCAAAGATTAATTGGTGGTCCGATCAGTTCTTACCTTCTTAACCCCCCCCCCCCCCTCCACCCCCATCGCCCTCGCTGAACGTGGCATAATTGCTCCGCGCTCCACTCAAAATAGATATTGTTACAAAAGAATGGCTTTCACTGTCGAAAGATAGATGGATGAAGCGACACATTGTAATATCTTTGAGAGGAAACTATGCGCATATGGAGTTAATAGAGGGGAAAAAATAGCGAGCATTATATATGATTATGATGAGGATTTAAGATTGATGAATATTGTGCTATTTTTTTTAATGATTGCCTTTCTTGCTTATAATTTTGTTTAACTTGTTTTTAGCCTTTCATCTGTCTACTTAATGTTTTTAAATGTAATTGCATGTTAATGAATAATATACTGTTTTGTTAGGTTACTGTGAACAAGTGTGATGTGACTGTCTATCTTCACGGATCTGGAAAAATCACAGCTACCCCCCCCCCTACCACCACATGGAGGTTGCTGTACTGTTATCTAGTATTAGCAAAACTTACTCACTAAATTTAAACATACCAACAAACACAGACATGCTCAATTAAAAATAAATGGATCATGCCAATTGTTTTACATTTACAATTCATTTTTTCTCTCCATGATTTATACTGGTACCTGTGTTATAAAATTCTATCAAAATATTGTAGTTGTTTGCAGTATATGCATACAGTAGAGGAAAAATCATGAATATAAAGTGCTGTGATGAAAGTGTGCTTATCTGGACATAATGATTAATTGTATGAGGATATTATCTCTATTGATGATGGTATGTACTGCATAATATGTCAACAGTATCGATGATGAACTTATTTGTATCCACATAAGCCTCTTTTTCTTCCCTAATTTGGAATAATGCTGGTTCATATGCACTCCCATTATTAACATTTTGATTAGTGTGCTTACAATATGGTCACACTTGCAGTTCTAAAGCCTCAACAAAAATTATAATTTTGGATGGCACTTATGATCTGTTACACTTTCCTATAGACAAGTTAAGGTTCACTATAATCACATATAATTAGACAGTGCAATGCAGCGGAAATTCAACCGACCCACAATGATCAATTTGTTAAGTGTACACCGTTTGATGATGAAAATTTCGTTGACAGTGAATTTGATAAACTAAAGTTCATATAGAGGCCATTAAACATTCTTTTTTATTGCCACTATATTTCTTGATTTTATGTATCATTATCTGTAGTACTTTTTTTTTCATTGTGAATTTTGGAATTGAATACCCATACTTTGCAGATGAAAATTAATGACAAACAGTGTCATAAATTACTCACACAAACAATTTTGTTCAGGGCCATTTAATCCAATTAGGCTCAAAGTTTATTGAAGCCGACATCTACACAAAGAATCAATAATGACTTACTTCTTATGTGACCCCAAAAAATGGCAGCTTGGACAAAATAGACGGTATTGTTGATGTCTTTTATTCACGCTAACCTCCAGACAACCTTTGAGAGGAGATCAAAAAATATCCTTGCCTTATTTCTCCAGAATCAGACTTGGATAGAATAAATGAAGCGCCAGTATGATATCTCTTTAATGTTGCTTCTTTAGATTGGTTAGATAGATAGACAATGATGAGTGCGTTTTTGTTGATGTTTGTTGTGTGGGCTGAGAGGAAAATGAAGAATTCTTTGCTTTGTGTTTATGGGTTGTGAGGTGAAGGTAAGGATAGGAGTATGGAATGTTGATTAACCGTGACATTGAACGATACACACAATTAATTCCATGTATTTTACAACCATATCTGGGTGAGAGAAATAGAGGTAACAATGTTAATAGTTCAATATCGCATTTTTGTATTCTTTTTGCAACATGATAAACAGGTAACATGTATCAATTGCCAAATACAGCTGAAAGGCCATCCAGTAATCCAACTTCTTGTCTCACGTTTATAAAATTGGGGTATGCCTTTGAATGTTTTTTTAAACAGATATATGGCGCCATACAAATACTGTAAATCATCATCATTGTCATGTTTAATAACACACATTTATTTATCTCTGTATTCTCAATTCTCTTTAAATAGCCGACGACACAGGGGAGTTTGCAAGCTCTGAACAGTCTGACGTTCTAGACCAAGACCTCATCATGGTAAGCGGACTGGAATCATCAACGACCTACCAGGCACGATTGCGTGTTACAAACCAAGAGGGCAGCACAGTCAGTACTACAACAGAATTCAAGACAACTGGCACAGGTAAATAATATCTTGCAGATGATTTTACCTTCTAAACCATGTTTCTACCATTTGCAAGCAGATTAATAGCAACATTAAACTGAGAGACATTATATAAATAACATTAATTTACTGTTGGTTAAAATTATGGGACTGCTGGGCTTTTACATTTTATTTTAAAAATTAAATATAGATCCAGTATCTTCGCAAGTTTTTCATATGATGCAAATTGCACATTGGATTTTAATTTGAGATAATGTATTTCCTCAAAGTGTATGATTTTCTGTGATCAGCGTTGTTTGGACTTATTTGGATTATATGAAAAAATGAAGCAAACAATATCTCAATGTATGAACAGGTTTTCTATATATCCTTGATAAATACACACTGCAGCCAGACTCGATAGAAAAAGAGTGTACTGTGTAAATCAATTGTTTGGCCATGCAATGTATTTTCAAGTAAGATACCATTGAAATTTCAAGTTCATCTTGCCATTCCAAAAGTCATTCAACCAATTAGGATTGAAATGTTTGCCTACGACATCAGCGCAATTGCACAAACTACTCATCAAAACTTCATCAGGTGTGTCGCCTAGCAACAGTACGGGATTGTCCCCGGAGTTGCTCTTGAGAGGTTTTCTTTTCCAATTCAACTGTAGCAATTTTGACAGACATCAGTGTGTACCATAGGATGGGGGGTAAACGTTGGACCTAATTGTGTTTGCGCAACCTGCGTGGAAGGTTGCTGGGCTTTTTCTCCCCGTAGCATAACTATGTAAACTAGATGTGTGTCATGTGCCAGTTGCTTCCATTGGCTTGTTGTACTGTAGAAAATAGAATGGTCAGAGTGTTGACAATCTTTCACATGAATATTTTGTAAATCTGCAGGATATTCATGAAGATATGTTTTTCTTTTCCCTTAGCTCATTTGCCATGTTCCCCCTCTTTCCTTTTCTGTTTGTTTGTTTATTTTTCACTGACCCCCCCCCCCCCCCTCTTATTCTCCCTCTCTCGTTTTCGATCTCGATCCCTCTCCCTCTCTATCTGAGCTTCTTCCTCTCTAGCTCCACTTTTTCAAACCTTATCCCTACCCTTTTCTTTGTGTAATTCTCAGCTAGAACAATTGTTTTCTCCTGTTCTTCCTCTCCATTTCATCTATTTTGTTTTTAAATTTATTATTACAATTTTGAAGTTTAAAAAAGCCTGATATCTTCCTATCAAACATAATGTAGGATAGTATTACTCTGCCCAGCATTGTGATGACGATGATATAATTTCAATATTATCTTTGTAACTGTGCAGGTGCGTTGGCTGACGGTGGTTTCGTCTTGGGCACCTGGATGATCATTCTCATCTGCATCATCATCCTTCTCATCCTCATCCTGCTCATCATCTGCATCATCAAGAGCCAGAAGGGAGGCAAATACAATGGTAAGTCAGCAGGCACCCCCACCTAACCCACCTTATATACCCCCTTCCCTGTCACAGCAGCCTCTTGAAAACAGAAAGTACCGGTATAGCTATCTCAACTCATCCCTCCAAAGAGTTTGAGCGCTGTTCTTTTCTCTCTCTCTCTCTCTCTCATTAGGTTGTGCAACGGTATAACTATGCACTGGGGGCCATTATTCATGAAACCTTGCTTATGCCTAGGTCACATCATTTATTTATATGTCGGTTCATTTCTCGATCTTTCAAATGCATGAGTTTCCCATGCATTTCCACCCTAAAATGCATTCTTAATTTTAAAAGTTCGCATTTTAATTTCAATGTCACCTTGATTCTGTCTCGATGCCGGTTAGATGTTGAAAAACAGAGTAGAAACGCAGTGGGAAATGTGACATTTTTAACATGTCCAAAATTTTCTTGGGCCTTTGCGTTGACAATCCGTTTACCCTAAACACATGGGAAACGCAGCATAGCTATATCAAAATCACTTCGGATCCTATTCAAATCAAGCATACCCAGATCAATGTCAGCTCATTTACTCTAGTGCATGAATAAGACCATAATCATAATGAATCAGAATCCTTCTAAAATAGTTTTTTGCCACAAATTATTTTCATCATTTTCTCAATTTTTCTTCTTCAATTTTTCGTTTTAGTATCTGACAAAGAGAAGCAGCTCAACAAAGACATTGAAAGCACGCCACTGAAGGATGATGGAGCATTTGATGAGTACAAACCTCCTACGTAAGTCAATCAACATTCTGATATTGCCGTCAGACTTGTAATTACCCCATGATAATTTCCATTACTTTTAGTCACATGACTAATAGATGAAAACATTTCCAGCAGTTTTGCATTTTGGTTCCACAACTTCATTTGTTGGATGAGGCACAGGTTGCGATAAGATATATTGTTTTTGTCAACATGCGCTTTTGCTGAGGGATATTAGATTTGATTTAAGTCTTATTTTCCAGTAATGCGGAACAAATTGGAACTGTAAATAATCAGTCAATTACACAAATTTCAAAGCATATAGATGGATTGGATAGGGATATTGAAAAAACAGCTGTTTGAACCCTCATTCTAGTGCTGCAAAATTTACAGACATATATTGTAGATCAAATTCTGGGTGAAGAAGTGTTTAATATTGATATCTTTTCTTGTGTTTGTCTAAACATATTAGAAATGTATTAATCTATGGCAGATTAAAAAGCCTCCATTACCAAACGGGTTGAATTGTTACTTTTCTTAGAATACGCATAGTGAATATCAGTGCATATCAAAAATAAATATACCCAACTTTGGCAGATTCCCATTTATAGTTTATAACCTGTGCGACCTTCAATTAGGTTTCATGTTAAAGTACGAATAGGGTAACATTAGACAGAAAACAAGATACTTTTCCATAAAAATAGGTTTCGAGGTCACACTAATTATGAATGTTTGATTATAAGCCACTAAAGTTAGGCATACTATATACCGGTATGTACCCTGTACTATAAAGCGTAAACAATTTTTTAAAACATTTTTTGTGCAGTGGTCCCGATGGTGAGCCTCTACGTGGATCTCAAGGCAGTCTGAATGACAGCGAACACGGTAGCAGCGAAACAGACAGTCTGAAGGAGTACGCGGACGGTGAGACGGGCAAGTTTGATGAAGAGGGCTCCTTCATAGGACAGTACGGTGACAACAAGAAACAGAGACAACCGGACGATGAACAAGGGGGCGGAGCAGCTTACTCGACATTCGTCTGAGAGTTGTAATTCGCAGCCGTCTGCAGAATCAGCAACAACAAGAAATCTCTTCTGATAAATATCGTTTGGACTTTTTAGATTCTTCTTATTGAGTTGAGGCCCTGTTGGGCGTGAGGGATAATGTTGATTGGAATTGGATTGAAGTGATGATTTACGATGATCGCATTGATGTGTTCAAGTATGATCCACCATGATGTGGATCTACTTCCTAATTGGAGAAATTTCAGATTGTTTGTTGGTTAGAAACACCTTTTTTATGTTCTCAGTATAGTAAAAGTCCTTGTTTTTTATATCTTTAGCAAATGTTGACAAAGATAGGAGATAAATTGATTAGATAGTGTACTGCATTTGTGCTGCTACGTACGAGATATGGATAAGTGTGTGCGCATGTAAGCGAGATTCAAGTAGGAGTTTGACCCCTTTCGGATTTGATTGTATATCTAGCTCTGATTCACAACCAGGATAGGCAGATTTCACTCTTTTTCAAATTTTAACTCCAAGATTTAACAAAATGGGGAGTGAGAACTTTGTGCACACACTTACCAGTACCTTCAGCATACTACTATTGTTTTTTTGTTTACTACTGAAATTTAGACTTAGAGGAAATGGTTATGTTTCTCTTTCCTGGTATCTCTCCCCCCAGTTCCTTTCTTTCTCCCCTTCGTTGGTGCTGTCGTGTGATCAAGCAGTACTAAGATGTGTTTGGCATCGTGTTACCATTCTTAATCGTTCTGTATGGATGTTTGCATTTTGAGTGATGAGGATTGGATATTATTTATGCTTCCACATTGTTCTCCTCATTCCACTCTGCGAGGCTAAAGCAAAAGGCCTTCAGCAGTGCCCTATTAACCCATTGCCTCTAGTAATTAATCGGTCCATGTAATACGCCTATGGGAATGAGAGAATTCGGTAGCCGATGGGTTAGATATTTGCCATGATGATTTGAAGCATGTCTGACATTCTTGCCAAGCAACTATCATCACACCTCCTTCAAAACATGCTTATTTCCTGCACTCTTGCATACATACGCATGACTTCCTTCTAGTAAGAGCTTGAGACCAGCCCCAATCATCCATCGGGACTGCAATTTTACCAACAAAGGCTGCGATAAGACCTTATTGCATAAGAGCTTGGCAGGTATACCTTTGATTGGGTATCACTACAAATGAAAAAAGGGCTGCTACATTAAGACTTCTGCTGGCAGATTATATTGGAATGTGGCTTGCTCAAATAAAATGTGTTGAAGCGCACATCATATGAGAAAGGGTCATGTTGTCTGCTCTCATCATCTTGCTGTCTATTACATCTAGATGTGTTCACATGTGATACTCCTGTGTGTCCGACAGCAAGATAATGAGAGATTGTCATACATGTGGTGTACAAGTCAATGTTCATGTTGTCTTGTATCACTGTATGACATAAGGCAGACCCTTACATTCTATTTTCTCATTCCAATATAAAGTATAAACCTGAACGACGGATAGAATTCCATTATTCGCTCATAGGTTTAATAATAAGATGTTGGAGAATTTAATTGTAGGTCCTTCATTCGTGAAGAGATCTAGCCACTTTGCATTCTAAGTTTTCTACTTTTTCACCAAAACGCTGCACTTCTGAAATCAAGCAATCCCTATCGCCTAACTGAAGAACAGATATTTTATGATGATTTGTGTTTAATTTATTCAAGATAAGATTTTGCTTTTTAAGAAATTATGACATTCAGCCTACTAGCAACTAGATTATGTTTTTTAATTTGTAGTGAGAATTTGGACACTAAAGAGCTACCAAATTTATTTCATTTTACATGTTTCAAAGAAGCAAACAAAATGCTTTAAATTTGGTGAATAAATTGTTGAATTGGTCACATGCAAGAAAGATTAGTGTAGAATGCAAGCAGGATTTGTTCGCAATAGTTCTTCTCATTTTTATATGTTGTTAACATTTACAAAAGTTTTTGACCAAGTCAAACATCTTTTATCTTGTAGAATTTTGTGTTGTTTTATTCTTAATTTGAGATGCATCAAATACCTTGTGTTTAATTTTTACTTCCAGACTTTTTAAAAGTTAAACTGCTGTTATCTTGAAACAAATAATGGAAGCATTTAGCACTTGAAGTTTGCAGTGGTGGAATATGTGGTATATCTTTCTAAAACAACTCGCATAAGCGTTAACGGGATTGGTTAGATCATGTTTCTACATCTTAATTGCTTTATCATTTTTTAAGGTAATGCTAAGATTTGAAAATAATTGATAGTTTTATTCTTTTCATTAATCAGTGTATAATTATTTTTCAATGCACTTTGTGGTACACGATGCAATTTTCTGTAATTTTTTAAATCTTAATACTACATTATCATTTGAAAAAATTGTGTAAGACATGCTAAAAACAGGCTTTGTTTGTTTTTATCTGTCGTAGGAAAGTCTTTTTTACTTCACCCGTTAGTTCATTCCAGAATTATATGATAAAGGTGAATATAATCTCTGTATTTGTTTTTTCTCCTTTTTTTGCATTGTTTTTAGAACAGTGTTATTTATTAGGACAATGTATTAAACATCTGTTTGTAAATAATTACATTGTGTTTATTGAGAGAGTTAGTGTATGAATGACAAGGTTTTGATTATTTCCTTGGACCAGAAGTTAACTGTGTGTTCTTAATGTAATCTGATAATGAGAGTGTTACAGGTACTGTCAATTGTGAGTGGTTTTATATCATAATGGTTGCGATTCATTCTTATGCAATGAAGGGAGGGAGGGAATGGGCAAATGAATACCTGCCTGTTTGTCTGACATGACAAGTCTTACAGAAGAATGTTTTTAAAAATGAAAATAACAGAATAAGGTGATTTTAATAGAAGTGATTGGACATGATATTTTATCATTTTGACTTGTAAAATAGGATAACAATTCTAAATTGTGAGAAAGGAGTCAATTGCTTTCAAGCAAGATAATTTTAAAGGAGATAATGTTAAAAATTTAATGGATGTCTTAAGGATTGTATTTAGGAGGGAGAATTGAATGGACCATGTGTAAGTTTCCTGAAATGTTTTTTCAAATGTGTATACTTTCAACATGTGCAAGATAATCATTGTGTAAGCGATATGATATTCACTTTTAAGAAAGAAAAAAGAAAAGGAAAAAATATATACTTGTAGATAATGATGTTGGGATGGGAATATGTGTTATATTACAGGCCTTCCTACAGTAATACAAGCATGGATGATAGCTTATCATAATTATAAAAACAATATTTTAAAAAGGCTAAAATCTCGTTACAATCAGATGATTGCTTAACTATAAAACATTTGTATAGCTTTTTTTTCTTCTTCAATTAGAGAATTCAGAACATGTGGGATTTTTTGAGACATAGAACGCAATTTTGATTACTGAGAATATATGTACAATATATTGAAACCTTACTAGAAAACCTTGTATGAATTAGAGTTGCAGTGATAGCCGGTGATCAAGTTGGTTTATAGAGGGTCGTCTTCAGGCAGGTCTTACTCTTAAGCAATTGTCTCTAAATCATTTGTACATTTTGAAATTCAAACATACAATTATCGTGTTTACTGTACGTACGTTAGATCACTACATAATTAATTACCATGACACATGATTGGAATCGTAGAGTAGAATGGCAAGTGTAGGTATATAGTCAGTGTTAGAACCTAGTCATATACGTATGTCAAGATGTTGTCATATTAATCTCTTTGTGTCATTACACGCATTTCTCAATTGAAGTTTTTGCAACAAACGAATGAAGATCAAGTGTATATAACCATTGTGTATATCAAAGCTCAATGTTAATTGCACTCTGGTTTTTCAGAGACAAAAAAAAAATGATGATAATAAAAACTGATGCGATATTTGATGTTGTAATCCTCAAATCTCAGTTAAACAAATGACATAGAGTACTCGTTAAAATTCAATAGCAACTTGTGTATTTTTATCACCATGTTCTTAAACATTGTACTGTAGTGTCTTCTTAGGATGAAAAATTATGAAGTAAGGGACGTTCTTTTTTCCTTGTATATTCAGCTTGCCAGGTTTAGTGTTTGTCTTTATTTCGATCATAGTCAATCTTTTAAGCGTTGATTTGATCTACTTCTTCTTCCCATCTTTCTCTGCCGAAGGATGTCCTTTCGTTTTCTTTTTAGTGCAAAATTCATGATCATGATAATCAGATACTGATAGTAGTACGGTACTTTTATCGCCATAGCATCATAGATTATTGAATATAAGCCAGTTCAAAGCAGCATATTTCATTTGTTTTCTGTTTGTTTGTTTGTTTGTTTTTCATTATTTTCTACTTCTAGTCGTAGGTAGAAAAAGGAAACTCATTATGTTTGGCTCATCATGAGTCGTGGTGTTTGTTTCTATGCTGCTGTGCGCTCTTTTCCTTCTTTTTTTTTACATGCAATCAAAGATAGATAAAAATTCTTAAGCAGTTTTAAAAATTATATTGTAAGTTGTGTTGTTGCTTTGCTAAGATTTAAAGACGATAAGCAGCGTAATAAGAAATATGATATGCCCCTATTCCACCTTGGTTTGTACATTGTTGTATTTGTGGAATCGATAGGGTGAGTATAGCTGTTTATAGTCTTTAATGATAACTATATAAAAACTTTTTATCTGTTTACAGCGTAAAGAATGAATTCTTTTTATTTCCATCGCCTGTTATTTGTGTCAAAATGATACTCGATTAAAATAGTTGTCAATTGTTCAAAAAAAATATACCACTGTGTTATGTGTTTTTACTGTCTAGTAGATAAAGTAGTTATAGTATGATTCAAAGAAGAGTGTTAAAGTGAGAACGAAGGTGAGTGAACTTATCGGCAGGAAAAGAAGAAAAAGAAATGCACCTTAGAAAAGAAAAAGAAATTTTTAGCTATTCAACTTTCACTTGGACATCTACCTCTTTTATTATATCAGAATATATGGGTGTTTGTGATTGGTCAAGTACATGTTAGTTATTTTGAAAAAGGAAACAATGTTGATCCCCTATATTGCTTTAAAAGAAAGATGAAGTGAATGTGTTTCACAAAACTCGTAATTCCAAGAGTGTATTTAGGTCAAAATTGTGTTGTTGTTTTTTAAAGTACAGGTCTTTCAACAGATGCACAACGTTTGGATATATTTCAAGAATCATTCTGTCACAATTTAAAGGAAATAGAGCAGTGAGGGTAAATATTTATGAGGTATACTGTCTTCAAGAAAGACCATGTGTAATATGGGAGGCGGGGTTGCCATCTGAAATAACACCCAAGTAATCTTCTTTAAGAGTCAGATGAGGGAAGAATGGGGGAGAAAGACATATTCAGAAGGTGTTTAGCATTTGAAAGGCTTCTCATGTTGTTAATTTTGCACAAATGTCTTTAAAAATATAAAAGAAATCACTCAAAAATTTCAAACAAAAAGACGAAAATTTAGTAGAGAATATAAAGGTTTTCAATTTGGTAAAAAGTGTACGCCGGCATAAAGGGAATAAATTCTGCCTGAAAGTTGATTTATTTCCATTTTTTTCTTCTTCTCTCATTAATTTTAAATGCTTTACTCGCTACTAAATTTCTCTTTGTGATCTGATTGCCAATTGGACTTTGTTTTTAATTAAGAGCTTATATGAGAATCAAAATAATAAAAGCCTTCATCTTCCAAAATTAGTCATACAGACAGAACATGCTCAATGAATTACTATTTGATCTACTGGGAATCACCCCCAGTCTTTCATAACCCCTCTATCTCCTTTAAACACTGCATTAGGAATCCAAATAATCCTAGCTGTCGAGAGAGGGAAGTCTTTAATATAAATAGGGGTGATAATATTGACCGATGCCCTAAATTCTGAAACTGAAGCGCCGGTTTTTAAATGTGCGAAGATCTTCTTTTTCTTCTTCTCGTTCTTCTTCTTCTTCTTTTCCATCTCCTCAATCTAATTCTTCTTCTCTGTTCTCATCCTGCGTATGCCCTTTGTTCTCATAATTTTCGCAGATATAAGAAACTAAATCTTGATTTTCCTTTGTTTCTGACTGAATTAGACCCAAAGTTTTATACCAGCCTTCCTTGTTTCTATTCGGAAATTTTGCGTGCTTGGATTACCTCTGGAGCAAGCGTCGAGACATCGTCCTTTACTGTCAACCATGTGTTAAACATTCCCTTGAATTATTATAAATTTCTTCAATTTACACTGGATGGCGACAAGATCTTCCCTGTTAGACTATTTGCATGTGGAATCAAACTCGTCAAGCATCTTGTAAACCCGAACAACGGTACCTGGCTCCGAGCAGACGAGGTCGTCATTGCCTCCACTTTGCAGCGTCCGTCTTTACGCCTTTTGGAACTTGACCTCTCTCGACTTCACAAAGAGATTTCCGGTTTGTTTCCTAGATTCTTTTCGAACAGCGGACTAAGACTGTCAGCAGCTTCAGCTTATCTTCATAATCTGACTGAACCTGTTACCTCTCCGTTCTCGATCATAACTAAAGACAACAAGAACATTCTTGCCACGCCGACTAAATCGATATATCGAATCTTCAACCGTGCTATTAGCTTTCTTCCTAGAGCTCAAGTTACTCATTGGCACGAGGCTGGGTTACTTTCCCCTTCTAAACTAATCAACTGGACTGAAATCTACTGCTATCCATCATCTAAGAAAGATGGGGACACTCAGTACAAACTATTACACAATGTTCTTCCGTCGCTTGCCGTTCTTCATCATCTTAATCCCGATATCTCCTCTTCATGTGGATGGTGTGGCAAGAAGGGAACTATTCTACACCTCTTTATCGAGTGTACTTCTATACAACCGGCCTTGGATCTTCTTCATCATCTTCTGTCAAGTCTTCTACCCGAAGTAAACATTGACTTTGACCTCTACTGGACTCTGGTTCCACATGCAAGAGGTCGTAACAGGGAGGCCGTGCGCCTATCCAACTTTTTTATTGTCATTCTTAAAAGCACATTATATTGGCTTTATCGTACCTCTCGTTTTCTTGATCCACTTCCTTTTTGGAAACTTAGAATCAAGAACAGAGTCATTCTTGATTATGAATTTCACAAATTACAAAACAATTTGGTGTTATTTCATAAGATATGGTCGTACAATAATGTACTCTTTCTTTCAGATGATATTGATCTCACATGGTTGATTTAATTGTTGTTTGTGATAAGTTTGTCTTGAGAAGAAGCTCATAGTTGGAAGTTATGAATTCCCATAATTTAATCGTTTTGAAACACTCTATGGATGTGTAATCATTTGTAATCAGTGTTTAGTACAATTTATGTTTTTTCTCAATTTCTACCGTCGAAATTATTGTTTTTTTATGAATTGTTTAATGGTTACTTTCTCATGTATTACGTACTACTTGTTGTTGATTATTGGTATATGATTCACAAACACTTATTATATTAAGTGCATTACTGTTATTTTTTATCTGTTTTAATTATTATATGTATTGTAAATAAAGTTTTACTTTCAAAAGTCAAAAAAGTCTTCTCGTTCTTCTTCTTCTTTTCCATCTCCTTAATCTAATTCTTCTTCTCCTCGTTCTTCTTCTTCTTCTTTTCCATCTCCTCAATCTAATTCTTCTTCTCCTCGCTCTTCTTCTTTTTTTTTCTTCTTATTCTTCTTCTTCTCGTTCATCTTCTTCTTCTTCTTCTTTTTCTTCTTCTTCTTCTTCTTATTCTTCTTCTTCTTCTCGTTCTTCTTCTTCTCGTTCATCTTCTTCTTCTTCTTCTTCTTCTTCTTCTTCTTCTTCTTCTTCTTCTTCTCGTTCTTCTTCTTCTTCTCGTAATTCTTCTTCTTCTTTTCCATCTCCTTAATCTAATTCTTCTTCTCCTCGTTCTTCTTCTTCTTCTTTTCCATCTCCTCAATCTAATTCTTCTTCTCCTCGCTCTTCTTATTTTTTCTTCTTATTCTTCTTCTTCTCGTTCATCTTCTTCTTCTTCTTCTTTTTCTTCTTCTTCTTAATTCTTCTTCTTCTTCTTCTTCTCGTTCTTCTTCTTCTCGTTCTTCTTCTTCTTCTTCTTCTTCTTCTTCTTCTCGTTCTTCTTCTTCTTCTCGTTCTTCTTCTTCTTCTTCTTTTCCATCTCCTTAATCTAATTCTTCTTCTCCTCGTTCTTCTTCTTCTTCTTTTCCATCTCCTCAATCTAATTCTTCTTCTCCTCGCTCTTCTTCTTTTTTTTCTTCTTATTCTTCTTCTTCTTGTTCATCTTCTTCTTCTTCTTCTTCTTCTTCTTCTTCTTCTTCTCGTTCTTCTTCTTCTCGTTCATCTTCTTCTTCTTCTTCTTCTTCTTCTTCTTCTTCTTCTCGTTCTTCTTCTTCCTCTTCTTCTCCTTGCTCTTCTTCTTCTTTTTTCTTCTTCTTCTTCTCGTTCATCTTCTTGTTCTCGAGTGACTCTCCTACATTAGGGGCCTCAGTCAGTTAAAGTTCTGTCCGATCCGAGGAACGGAGTGTTTTCCCCTGAAACCGAGCATGAACCGAAACCTGCAGAGGGGAGCGGTGCGACGATGATCAGATTGCGCCACACCACATCCTAGGACGACTTGAATACCCTATTGTATATCCCATAAAAATCAGATTATGAAACACGTCACTGTAATTAGCTCATTGGCGAAGGTCAAAGGCTATTGAAATGGACTGCTCAATGTTGATTTTCGAAAGTTTTTGCGATTTGGTTGTACAATCGCTAGATACATGTCGCAAATATAAATGCTGAATTTCGATTTAGCTCGTATATTATTTTATTTTTAACACTATTTTTTACAGTGAATATCATTCGTTGTTTGAACATTATATATCACTGTTTCATCAGCCGTTGCTGAAATTTGTTTCTATTTACAGTATCGGCAAAAAAAAAAGGGGGGGTTACGAGTAGAAATGTAGGAAGCATAGGAATTACTTAAAGATAAAGATATGTTTAACATAACTAAACTCTAATAAAGTAAATGTATTAATTATGATGATGATCATGCAGATTTGCAGAGGATTGCCTAAAAAACATAGTTTGTTTAAAGCCTTTCTGCACTAGTTTGGCCAGGTGGGATTAGACCTCACTGCGTAGTCACTGGCAGGTGGTTATCTCATCAAATTAGCTATCAATATTAACATAAGAAAAAGGGGATCGTGGGGGACTAACAGTTACCGCTAAGGAATTGTTGGCTATATAGAGGGCGCAAGTAGTATGTAGTGCAGTCCCGCTTAAAACAAAGCAAGTTTGTGGCTGAAGCGCGATGGCTCAGTGGTAGAGCAATGGTCTCGTAATCGGGAGGTCCTGACTTTGAACCAAGTACCCTTTAGTATTATTACATTGATCATAATTACCAAGTCCCTCGGAGAGGACTGAAAGCGCCCCCCCCCCCCCGCCATTCGCTTACTTTAAGCAGGGAGGTGAGACTCACATGCCCTGCTTTAAGCATACACACATGATTTCTTAGCAGTCAGGTAAAACAAATAAACAAACAAACCAGACCAAAGTATTGTGAATGTTAAACATGTTGATATGGATAGCAAGAAATACTTACTTGGGCACAACACACTCTCTCTCTCCCTTTCTCTCTCTCTCTCTCTCTCTCTCTGTACCATCAGTTACGATTATCATCTATAATTCAATACATAAATCTCCACATGTATCAAATTACCGTCCGTAATAGACATTTATGAGCAAGGCAGACTAGTGTCGTAATAAGTACGACGAATCGCATTTCATTGTACAAATTGCAGTTACACCCTGCCCTGC